TAAAAATGGTTAAAGTGGCAATATTTTGGTAATTTATGTTTCATGACAATAAAAATGAAAACCAGACCCCAAACTATTATTGTTATATTCCATCGAGTTGACCACTACTCATAGCAACTCCTGAACAACAATGGGCACCTTGCCCTTTCCTGTGCCGTCCTCATGATCCTGCCCTGCCCGTGATTATAGTCACGGTGCCAACCCATCTAACTGAGGCTCTTCTTCTCTTTCTCTGACCATCTGCCTTTCCCAGCATGATGTCTTTTTCCAGTGACTGGACCCTCTTGATAATATATCTGAAGTATGTGAATCAAAGTTTCACCATCCTTGCCTCCAAGCAGCACTCTGTGGTGGTACTTCCTCCGAGACAGGTTTGTTTATCCTTTTGTCAGTCCATGATATAGTCAATACTTTTTGTCAACACCACAGTTCAAAGGCATTGATTCTTTGTCAGTCTTATTCATCGCTCGACTTTCATGTGCGTAGGAAGCAATTGAAAATATCATGGCTTGTATCAGGCACACCTTAGTCGTTAATACCCTTTAGCACTCTGAAGAGGTCTTTGACAGCAGATTTCCCCATTGCACCATGACTTTGGGTTCTCTGACAGCTACAGCCATGGGTGGTGTTAGTGTATCCAAGCAAAATGAAGTAAATAATAACTCCAATCTTTTCTCTATTATGATATTGCCTGTTGGTCCTCTCCTCATTGCCACTGAGTTGGAACCAACTAATAGCTGACCCTCCAGTGGATTTTCAGAAAATGCAAATCACACAAGAGGAGATTGCCCATCTTTCTCTCACAGAATGGTTGGAGAATTTGAACCAACACAGAGAGAAGTGCTAACTTTGAGTTAGCTTCTCAATTCCCTATGGACTACATCACCAGCGTGCTGAGATGTAACTCATATTGAAGGCTATAGCCTTTACTTTTCTGCAAAAAGTCCTTCAAATCTTCTTCATTTCCTGTAAGCAAGATTGTGTCATCTACATAACACATACTGTTGTCCAATCTTCCTCCAATCCTGAAGCCACATACATTTTTAAAATTATTTTTAATTTGTGTACTGTCAAATCAGATCTGACTGGTACAGGAGGAGATTGCCCCTTCTTCCCCAGCAAAGCATCTGGTGGATTTGAACGGCATACCTCTGGGATTTCAGTGCAGCTTCTTGCCACTAGGCCACCAGAGCTCCCTGTCACATACTTTCTTACATAGCTGAGTTTCTTAAGTGTGTGATAGCCCTGTGAAAATGTTTGAAATGTGAAAGTTACTAAAATGTGATGTGAAGACATGGAACGAGCACATGATGTTGGAAAAAATACACTAGAGAGTTGTTTGAAGCAGGATTGCTGTAAATCATCAACTCATTAAAAAATATGCAGTATCTGGAAAATACAGTAAAATGAAATGCAATATGACATAGTATGGCTGGGCAATGGAGTACTACATAGCTGGTAGTAATAAAGTAATGGAGCTTGAGGACATTATGAGGGAAAGAATCCAAATCCCAATTATTTCCATTGTGGTTGACTTGATGTGGGCTCATTGTGACCCTTCACTGGGTTTTCCCGAGGCTGGAAATCTTTATAGGATCAGACTGCCTTACCCTTCTGTGGAGTCACCGGTGGGTTTAATATGCTGGTTAGCAGCCCACCACATAACCTGCTATGCTTCCAGGGCTCCTTATGAGTGAAATGAATTAATCACAAATATTGCATGACCTCACGTGTGAAAAGCCAAGAAGAGGCAAACGTTTGTATAGAGACTGAAGCTTATTAGAGGTTACCAGGAACGGGAGGGGGAGAGAGGAGAGTTATTCCTTATGGAAGGCTGAGTGATAGAAAACTGCATTAATTAAGGGTAGGCTGCAGGAGAAAGATGGGAAATCTCCTCTGATGTAATTTACTGCTGCTGAAGGGTGAGCTATGATTTGAATCTGACTTGACAATACTCAGTAATGATACTAATGAAGTAGCTGTCAATAGGTTGTAAATCTGTGAAAAGCTGAATTGGTAAAAGTTGTATGATATATTTATAACAATGAAACCTCCTCAGCCCCCAAATACTGCTGAGTCCACTTATTTAAAACCAAATGCCTCTTGGGATTTAGCTCCTTGATTTGGAAGTTCAAGGTCATGGTTTTACAGGACATCTTAGTTACCTGTCCTAATGCTGTGTTAATTAGTGTGCCTGCTTTCCTCTTCATTGCTTTGTAGTGCCTGGAGTTTTCAAAGTGTACAAAGGCCATCCAAACGACAGCAATTGCTTTCCAACTTGAGCAACAGAATGAGAAACAGAGTCTGGAGAAGAGGAAGTGGAGTGTAGCTAAAGGCCTTCATGGGCAACTGTCGCCTCCACCACGAGACCAGAAGGCCTGGATGACGCCCAGCCACCAGTCCTGAACATTTGAATCAGATTCTATAGAAGAACTTGATCAAAAGAAGGAAAATGTAGAACTGAATTTAAAAATCTCACAGACTCTAGGCTTTCTGAATCCCTGGAAGCTGGATGACCTCCTAAAACGACTGCTCTGGAGTAATTTTTTTTTTCTTTTCTGGAGTGATTTTTAAGCCAAAAATCTTTCCAGACATTTTAAAGCCAAACAGCTTGAAGAGTGTGATAAATTTACTGAAAGGTACATGCAGAAACTACTTAAAATGGTGTGTCCTTGATGTGTATATGCTCAACTACAATAAAAACGTAATAAATTATTACCAAAAAGACCGCCTTTTCTTGCCACAGTAGTCGAAGCTCCAAGCAGGGCAGACTGGAAGAGGGTTGTGTCTCAAAGGTGTCCTTGTAGCCCGCTGAATGACTATCTGTCCCATGCAGGGACAGTGCGTGTGACACATGGCTTTTCCGCCCCTCTTTAAGCTTGGTCACTATAGGGACTTCTGATTAAGCAGAGGCAAAGATAGAATGGGGTGAGAAGAGTGGAAGCCTGTGGCATAAATTTAGATCTGGGCCTTTAAGCAAAATGCTCAGGAAGAATCATTCTACCCAGTGTTAAATACCAAATGAGTCAGCCTTCAGGGAGTCGCACCCTCACTCTCTGAAGTCCCAGACAAGATAGGAAGGCTGGTTGGGGCTGCCTCACTGACTCTTACAGGGACCTGGAACTCAAAACCACAGTGTTACCGGCTGGACTCTAGTTCCCAACCCTATGGTGATGCTAATGCTTGTTCACTTTTCATTCATTGCTTTCTGAGGAGGGGATCACTGAGGGGGCTAATGTTCTCTCTCTCCCCTAAGGGAAACGTGGTGGTCACCAGTCCTTTCTTTGACCATTGCTTTTGGATTTAAGAGATCTTGCAAACAAGGACTCCTCTCATATCCTCTGCCCCATGCTTCCTCTCTCTGCATCTGTACTTGTCCTCTTGGTAGAAGTACACTGATTGGGGATTTCCAGAGGACAATCAGATCTGAGGAGAAAACATGGCCTCCACACCTCAGTACTTTTTGGCACAAAGCCATCTGCACATCCAAGTCGAGTTGGCACCATGCGGCTGGGCCCCATGTTGGCAGGTGGCTTTTTGGTTGCAGCCAGGTGAGTTAGTGGAGATGGAACAGTCATTTATTTGAGCAAAGGTGACATGTCAGTTTTCCTGAAAAGAAGCCCAGCATGCAGCTGTAGGTTCTGAGTGGAGGTGGAAGCTGGGGTGTCACTAAAAGTTGGGGAGAGGTATGCCTGATTGATGAAGGAAAGGAAGGTGAAGAGATGATATTCCTCAGTTTCAGGTGACATGCTGGACCTCCTGCCCATAGCAGTGCTGGCTGAGGAAAGGGAGCAGACTTGGGGTGTGAGAGGAGCAAAGCAGAGACGGACAAAAGGCCGATTCCAGAGTCTTGGTTTTATTGTGCAGCTTTCTTTTTCCTCGATGAGATGCCATAAGCTGTAGTGGCACTAAACACAGTCACAGGACAGAAGGGCTGCCAGTACGGGGCTGGAGATCACGAGAAGCCACCTCCCCAGGCATATCTCACTCAGGGGCCTCACTCCATGGTCTGCCTCAGGCTCCCACAGATCCCTGAGAAGGCAAGCCTATGGGACAGGGGGTTGTCTGAGGGACATTGAGGGAGGAGGAGGGGCTCCCTGTGGAAATACTCAGGTCAGACACTGTGGGCACTAGGACCCAGCCAGTCTGACCTGTGGGCTTCAGGCCTGAGTTCTGGAAGCTCTCAGGTGGCTTAGACAGCCTCAGGAAGCTTGCTCCCTGCCACCTCCCTGCTGGGGCCAGGACAGTGGGCTCTACTGATGTGAGGGATGGCAGGCTGACATTCCTGGCCTCCGTAGGCTTACCCTTCAGCCTGTCCCATTAGCCCTGGTCTCAAAGCAGAATCCGCATCCTCTCTGGATGTGCCCTGACCTCAGGTCCTGGGCAGATTTCCACATGGTAAAGGGAGGGGCTTTTCCTCCGATGTGGTTGAGAACACTTTGGGAGATGCTGTTTTCTCTCTTGCGTGATGGCTACAATACTTGGTGGGATCCTCATCTCTGGCTGTTCAGGAGTGGCCCCAGCAACTGATGTGTCAGTAACAGCCCCAGATATACTATCATCTACTTGCTCACATCTCTGCCTGGCCTCTACTGGGCCAGGATGGATGGTCCCCCAGGGATGAGTTATCTCTCTATCCCACTACCTCTCATCCTCTCACTAACCATCAATTCCTCTACCCTGGCTTCTCTTTTCATAAACTCCCAAAGGAAAGGAAGAATAGATAAATCCTAAATAAACCAGACTGAAGCAACTCTGGAACAAAGAGTACAAAAGACAGCCAGTGGTGTGTGCAGAGAGGGTACGGGGGTCTTGGGGTTGGGTGGCAGTGAGGGGTGGGTAGTTAATGGCATGCATCACTGGGGTTCCTTAGGAGGGGTGAGGTCCTCATTCCTCCCCAGAGTGTGTGAGGGGCTGGAGGAAGGGGTCAGCCAACTCAGAGAACTACGATCTCTGAACCGGGCCTTGTGGCTTCCTGTATCCTCGGTGGGCCCCACAGGTCACAGGGATACAAAATCCATGGCCTGGAGGAGAGGCAGAGAGAGCAGGAGCAGCAGCAACCACGAGGTGTTGTGAGTCAGCAGGCTTATGCCCTCACACTTCACCAGTTTGTCTGTGGAGAGAGAATTGGGTAGGGGACAGGACAGAGAATAAGAGTGACCAAGACTTAGGAACAGGTACAAAACAAGGTGCACTGCCCCAGTATCATGATGATGATGAATGAGATTCAATAGGATCAATCATCTTTCCATTGATCACACATCATCTTATCAAATCCTTACCAGATAAGGCCACAAGAAAACTGTGCGAGGATAGGTTATGGTCCTTGTTTCCCAGAAGGGGAGACGGTATATTGTAGAGGCCTGCTCAAATGCAATCTACAGCCTCACTCTCTGACTGACATCTTAGCTCTCCCCTACCACATTCACACTGAAAGGGATGGTTCCCCAGGAAACCAGGCAGCACCTGAGTGAGGCTGAGGGGAGCAGGCACCTCCCCCTTCCAGTCCAGCCAAAACTGTCTGCTGCCCTCAAAGGCCTTCTCCTCCCCAGTTCACTTGGTCCTCCTGGGTGCTTGTCTCACCTCTGAAGACTGAGATGTTCTTATTGGAGACGGTGGGAGTATGACCAGAGAGGCGGAGCTCACACGTGTAGGTGCCCTCATCCTTGTTGGTGAAGCTATGTAGGTAGAGGACCTTGATGTTGTTTTTGTAAGTGAGGTTGGTCCGGGTGCGGTAGGAGTGCTCAGGCACCCCCACGGTGCCATAGATCACGTGCTTCTTCGTCTCACGGGTCACACTGAACTCATACTGGATGGGCACGGTGGTCGTGTTCTCATGGCGGCAGTCCAGACGCAGGCTCTGGTTCTCCAGGCACGCAGTCAGGCTTGTCACCTTCTGTCCCCAGGCCACCTGAAGGACTGACACCAGCAGTACCCCCTCTGAGCCTGCACAAGGGGTCTCCCTCCCTCACTAGCCCACTAAGATCAGAGATAGGGCCTGGTCAGGGAAGATACAGGGGTCTGCTCTCTGAGCCCCTCTTCCACCCCGGCGCCAGTGCAACTTCTCTACTGTGGATTCTAGCCTCATACCCTAGTCTTCTTGAGGCCTGGGCCTAACGGAAGTCTTTGGGGCAGGCTCCTGGTTCCCACTTGGAGGTTCTAATTAAACGGCATGAGTGGGCCTCAGGAAGTTAAATTTCTAAAACCCATCCCAGGAACTCAAAAGATCAGCTGGTTTTGGGGAAATTGCTGACTTAAGGATGGAAAAGAGGCTTCTGTTCCTCGTTCACCTCCACCTTCTGTGCAGAAGAATCTGGCTTCTGTGAGGGGGAGGAAGCCAGGGTGGCTGGACTTTGACCTTGCCCAGTACCTGTAAACAGGAGAGCGATGCTGACTGCAGGTTTCATGGTGCCTGGAGCTCAGCGCTGGATCTGGTGTGGGAACAGGATAAGGATCAACCAAGAGATGAGGCAGGCATCTCACACTTACTGCCACGGCTCAGGGTGCTGGGAGATTCTCTATAATATCCACTGACTGAGACTCCAAGCTCCCTCTCTATCTCTCCCCAATGGAATGTGAGACTGTTTCCTGATTCCCCCCCCCCCCCCAGGGACATGCAGTAGAGAACACCTCCTACAATAGTATGTGTTTGTATCTGACCACAAAATACTCTTAGCTGTAAAGTGACGCTGTCTTTATAACTTCCCGCTTCCCCTTTCAAGAATGTAAGAGCTATGAGGGCAGGGACTTCCTATTTTTTACTGAGAAAACCCCCAAATACCCAGAACAGTTCCTGGCATATAGTAGGTCTTCCAAATGACTGAATGGCTCTGAGCTTCAGATACCCATAGTGTTCTGATGAGTTTTAGAAAAGATAAGCATCTGGTACTAGGCTTGCCCTGAAGCAAGTGGTCCACCAACATTCCTTCTCTCCTTCTAGAAGACAGCGTGGCTAGAGATGTGATGCCGGGTGCTCCCAGATAAGCCTGCACTTGGTACAGAGCTAGGGGTGTTCCTGGACATGCAGAGGAAATGAAGGCACGCTGTACTGCATAGGAGCAGGCTTCTGAATTGTTCAGCTCTCTAAGGATTCGGGGCTGCAGTTTTCCAGTCTTGCTTCAGTGACCTCCCACAGCGCTATGCCTTGTTTCTGCAGTCAAGGCTGAACCAGCACCCCAGCAAGGTGACACAGCAGCCCACCTAGCCTGTTCCCAGCGGGGAGGACGTGCCCTTTCAGAACTGTTTGGAGGGCCCTGGCGGGTGCCCTAGTCAAGACCAGAATCTCAGGTCCTCAGCTGGAGCCTCCAACTCTGTCCCCTTAGCAGATCAGAAAGGTGCTTCTCTGGAGGAAAGGGGGTGATGGCCAGCATCTGGTTTTGATTTATGGACACAGAGTCATAGAGTAGGGTGTAGGCTCGGGAGCTAAGAGGGGAAGGAGGAGCAGTGGCCAGAGCAAAACAAAAGGAAGAAATGGGGCTGGAGGGAGTGTGGGAGCCTGTTTGAGGGGTGCGGTCTGCCCAGATTTTACACTGCTCTGCCAAAAGAGGCTCTGCCCTCTCTCTTAAGACCCCACGGAACAAGTCCAACCCGGATTCCATTTCCTATTCCAACTGAGGCTCCCCTACCACCCCTTTTCTTGAGCCCTGGTGGTACAGAGGTCGAAGCATTGGAACACTAGCAGAAAGGTGGGCCCTTCTAACCTAAAAGCCGTTGCATGGGATAAAGCTGTGCGAGTCGGCTTCTGTGAAGATCGGCAGCCTTGGAAAGGCTCCGGGTTGCTCCACCCAGCAAGGATCCCAAGGAGTCGGAATCCACTAGACTGCAGTGAATGTGGCTGGTTTGGGTACCTCCCCTCTCCCATCGGTGTTCAGTTCCCTCCTCCCCCGTCTGCCTCCCAGTCCCCGCCCGTAGCACTGCGGTTTCCCCTCCCTTGTTCCCCGCACCCCACCCGCCAGTGCAGGGTTTCAGGTCAGTGAGTCCCTCCCGCTAGTCATCCTCTGACACCCCCTCCACCCCAATTTCATTCACCCTGCTTTTGCAAGCAGGATGTGGAGACATTTGGGTGCGGAGAGCCTCAAGCTGTCCTTTGCACTCGCCCTCTCCGTTCACCTCATCGTCCCTGGACGAGCTCACCTCCCCACTCGCGGGCTAACATCCTAGGGCGCATTCCCAGGACCTTCTCGAGGGCGAGGGCCGGGGACAGAGAGACTCCTGTCCTGCAAGAACAGGCCCTACCCGGGCGCCCCCGGCTCGCTAAGCAGGGGCTGCAGGTTAGGAGGGCTCGCCCTGGAGTCTGGGCCTATGCCTGTGTCCTGTGTGCCCGCCTCGGCCACTGCTCCCACCTGAGCTTCTGTCCTCAGCTGCTGCAGCTCCCTTCGCTCCGCGGCCTCCAGTCCCTGCACCCGCTTGGTGCCCGCAGTTTTCACTGAGGGGGGGGGGCAGAGGGGGGCGGGAAGAGCGCGAGACTCAACCAATGAGAGGCTGAATGGGGTAGAAAGACCTCGTCGGAGGGGGCGGGGGAAGGCGGTCCTGTCTTGGTGTTGGAGATGCGCTGGCTGCTGCAGAAGGGGACCTCAGCTCTGTGGCTGGCAGGCCTGGCCAGAGACCACGGTACAGGAGTGAGAAATGGGGTGAGGCAATGTGAGGTGACCAACGGATATCTGCTGAGTCTCAAACCGAAGAGGTTATTCCTTGGAAATGGACATTATGCTTGGAGAGGTGGAGTGTCACGGAAAGAGAGGAAGACCCCCAATGAGGTGGATTGACCCAGTAACTGCAGCAATGGGCTCACGTGTGTCAGAGATGAAGAGGGTGGCACAGGATAGGACAGGGTTCAGATCTGTTCATAGGGTGGCTAGACTCCTTGGCATCTAACACCAACACCATCACCATCACCACCACCACCAACTCTTCACAAGCCTGTGGGAACATCCATGACTAAAGTGGGTGGGGCTGAGGCCAGAAGCTCCCTTCTCCCCCAGGACAGAGCCCACGCTTCCTCCATCCCCCCTCCCCCCTTCGTGGAGTCCAACAAGGGAGAGAATCGGAATGTTGCAATCGCAGGAATGTTCCTTCTCATAGGAAGGTGGTTGGGTGTTTACCTTTTGAAAGCAAGTCAGGTGCTACACCTTCTGCGCCCCAGCCAGCGTGCCCTGGGTCCTGCTTTATTTTGGAAGATACAGCCTGTGAGGAGGACCCCAGCAGCTTTGGGAGGTCCAAAAGAGAGGCCTTGGGCCTCTCACCTCCCTCAGCTCTGGTGCTGATACCTCCTACCCAGTCCTGGAGAATGACCTTCCTGGCTTTATCCACCCTGCACAGTTTGGTCTCCTAAGAAATAAGGCCAACTTTAATCTCTGGACTGGGCACACACATACATACAATTATACACCAGCCACGTTTACCCCACAGCACCTGACTGGTGGGTAGTTATGCCATTTCATACCTCAGCCCATCTCCTGGTAATCAGAGGACAGAGATGGTGAGTCTACTGGGGTATAATCTAAACCTTCCATGCTAAACCACTTCATTCTGCTAGACCCTAGCTCAGGGAGAGGGATGAGTTGTATTGTTAGGTGCTATTAAGACAAATACTATTCATAGTGAACCTATGGACAACCGGTCTGGACCTTCCTCTACCCTGCACCAATCCTCACCACATGTCATGCTCAAGTCCATTGAGGTAGTCACTGTGTTAATCCATCTCCTTGACGGTCTTCCTCTCTGTCACCAAACCTCTACCTTTCCCACCATGATGTCTCTCTCTAAAGACGGTTCCCCCTAAAATTATGCTCAAAGTGAGAAGTTTCACCATCCTTGTGCCTAAGGAACACTCTTATTGCACTTCCAGCAATCACAGATTTGTTTGTTTTTGCCAGTCCATGGTATGTTCAACACTTCTGCCAACACAATTTAAAGTTATTGATTCTTCTATGATTTTCCTTATTCATTATCCAACTTCCAGATGCACAGAAAGCAATGAGAAGACCAAGGCACATGTAATAGTCTTTAAGCTGACAACCTTCCTTGTTCTTTAAAACATTGGATAGATCCTTGGGAGATTTTCCAATGCAATACTTTAAAAAAAATTGGTTTGCTTACAATCATTCTTATCCACTGTGTTTTATACAATCATTCATATATACTGTATTTTATATAATTAATTACTCTTGCTCTATATCTATTATTCCCCTTCAAGTGTTTATGGAATTTTTCCTATTCCATCATTCTTCTTCAACCACTAGAATAACCTAGTGTATTCTCCCCTTTCTCTTCTTCTGTCTCCCTTCTACCTTTCCCTTTTTTGAACATTTATACATATCTTGCTCAGTTATCTCCTTATTTTCACAACAGTAGTCTTATGCAGTATTTGTCCTTATGTGACTGAGTTATTTCACTCAGCTAATGCTCTCTTGACTCTCTCATGTTATATAATATTTTACAAAATTGTCATTCCTTAGTGCTGCATAATATTCCATTGTGTGGATGTACCACAATTTCTCCATCCGTTCATTTGTTGATGGACATTTGGGCTGTTTCTATTTTCTTCCTATTATGAATAATGCTGCTATGAACATATCTCCATTTATGTCTCAGTTCCAATTTCCTTAGAAGTGGAAGAGTTGAGTCATAAGGGATTTCTGTGTTCAGCTTTTTGAGAAAATGACAAGCTGCCTTCCATAGTGGTTATATAATTTTATAATCCCAGTAGCAGTGCATACGAATTTCAGTCTCTGTGTATCCTTTCCAACATTTATTGTTTGCTGTGTTGTTAACTTTGCTACTGCTGCTAGGGAGAGATGCTATCTCGTTGTTTTGATTTGCATCTTTCTGATTGCTAGTAATTTAGAACGTTTTTAAATGTGCTTTTTTGACATCTGAATGTCCTCCTTTGTGAAGTCTTCCCGTGTCTTTTGCCCATTTTGTGACTGTGTTATAATCTTTATCTTGTGGAGGCCCTGTAGTATTCGGTAAACTTTATGAAATGTCACTTATCTGAAATGTCACTGCCAGAGCTTGAGAGACCTTGACATACAGAATCTGCTGGGCCATTTTGTGGAAATTGAGATCCATAGCTTGGAGACAAAGCTCCAGTGGCCAGGGCTTTCCTCTTGGGTATGATCTGGGCTCATCTTGACCTCAGTCGGCATGGGGTGACATGTGTTATGAATGAACTAAGCCCAAGGAGTTTTTTAATGAATTGGTTGCTGTTTCCCTACGTTAATGACCTCACAAGTCATTATAAAATAAACTGGCCTTGTTTTTTTCTTGTGTTTTTATCTCTTATCCTTGTGCTCAACATCCTCAGGTTCAGGCTGCACCAGGCAAAGTCAAGGACACTTTCACACCCTTAGGGATGAAGCATTAGGTCAGCCTATCTGTCATCTCTCCTTAACTACCAGTGTTAACC